ATTGGAAATCAATAATAAAAAGATATTTTGCGTTAAAGAAAAGCCAAAAGCTACGATAATGTCATACAATCAAAACCAAAGCAGAAGAAATGCTCTGGTCTCAAAAAATAACACTTGCAGTCACGTTCAAATCCTTACCACATCAATATGATAGACTTGGGTATAACGATAAACTACATGCGGTAGCAAGGCCTCTGATTGGGAGACTGGAGGTTTTGAGGGGCGTGGAACTACCTCTAAATTGCTCATGTTCTAAGGTCCACCCTGACCCGGGGTGGTAGCACCAGTTAGGATCCCAGCTATGGCAAATAGTGAACCAGCAACAAATGCCAACCACTATCAAAGTATAAACATAGTTTTGTATAATAAAAATACCAGCAATAGACTTTTATATAAAACAAAATTACCAACAAGGCATTTTTATATGTCGATGAAGGCATACACCATAATTTCTCGAAAATAATACACACCCATAAATAATACGCACCCCGCGCCCCAACAAATTATCCCAAAATTAAAATATATATATATATTCTTATGTATAAGGATATATATATTCTTTGTCAAAAAAAAAAAAATAAATAATAATAATAATAATAATAATAATAATAATTACGAAGACATTTTGAATAAAATCGAAACTAAAATAATGTTGAAAATTACCATGCGGTTTTCCCGATAAATCATAACTTAGAGAAGGTTACTAAATAGAATAATCACACAAAGGTTGGTAATGAACGATAAGACTCAGGACAAGAACAACACATATAAGATTCGCCAGCGGCGCGTAGAAGAAGTAGTCAACTGCTAGAAATGAATCAAGTGAATTCCACAATGAATCTCCAACTGCAGGATATCTACTCACCGACCCACGCGGTCAGATGTGGCACAAGGTATCCTATACTGTAGGCTCGGCCAAAAATTCCCCATCGACCCCGTATAAAACGGAGTCGGGCAGCTGATCCCACGAGATGAGACTCTATCCTTCGACATAGACTCGTCTGGTGATGCTCTCTGTCCGGAGGCAGAAAGCTTGACCAGCACAGCTGGAGACGAATCTCCTACTGCAGGATATCTACCAACCGCCCCACGCGGTCAGATGCGGCACAAGGCCAAATTTAATGTGGAATATTCGATCCTGTAAGTTCGGCCAAAAATTCCCCGTAGACCCTGTATAAAACGGGGCCGGGCAGAGAAAACTGCCTATAAAACTGCCTCCGGGCAGAGAGCATCTCCAGACGAGGCTATGTCCCGAGACACAAGCTACTTTTAAGACCTCAGCAACAGCCCCTAACAAATATGTTCTAAAGAAAAAGAGACAAGACTCTGCCCTTCGACATAGCCTCGTCTGGAGATGCTCGCTGCCCGGATGTAGAGAGTTTAACCAGCACAGCTGCAGATGAACATACAGTATTTACTACTGTATTTATGTGAATGTGGACATACCCATAATAGTCTGTAGGTATACTACAGCAATGACGTTTTATTTTATCGCCAAAATGGGATTCCGTCAATGAGAATGTTATAAAGAGAGGTGTCTTCTCACGACATCTGTGGATGGCTCTGAAGATGACATCATTTGGCAAGAGAACGAAGAGGCGGAAAATAATTTTAAACAGGACGAAGATAATATTGTGAATGATAATTTATTTAATAACAATTTAGATATTGATTCTGTAATAAAAAAAGCGGTGGTGGTGGTGATAATGATGATGATGAAAATAAAGATTTCAATAAATTCTTAAATTGATATCCTCTTTTCTTCGAAATTGCCCTTTTTATAGACATTTTTTTATTTTTTTTTTATTTTTTCGCCAAATTAAAAATGCGGTTACTGATGAACACAAATTCATTGACAAAAAATATTACAATTATTATTGCTGAATTTAAAAATGAAAATTGGGATAATATCTTTCTTATTTTAGAACAAGTACGTATATTTATTATTATAAATCAATAACGAAAAAATATTTTTTTGTTTAAACCTATTTATAAAAAGCTTCTCTACTATCACCTGTAATTTACAGTAAAAAAAAAACAGCGTATTGTTTTCGAGAAATTACGGTAATTATGCTCAAAATATAATTAGTTGAAGCTATAAAATTGTGTTCTAAATATTTAGATATCGGCATTAAATAACCTATAGAGGTGTTGATATGCCTCTAAACAAAATCAACCAACCAACCACACCAATATGAAGATGTCAGACAAAATAGATTATTTAACAATATATATCCGAATGTTTCAAAATTTATCCCCAAACTTAAACAACAAAGAACCTAGTGATGAGGACGTCAAGAAACCTATTAAAAAAATCTATTTAAAAAAATCTATTAAAAAAATCTATTAAAAAATCTATTAAAAAAAATTATTAAAAAAATCTATTAAAAAAATCTATTAAAAAATCTATTAAAAAAAATTATTAAAAAAATCTATTAAAAAAATCTATTAAAAAATCTATCAAAAAAATCTATTAAAACAATCTATTAAAAAAATCTATTAAAAAATCTATTAAAAAAAATTATTAAAAAAATCTATTAAAAAAATCTATTAAAAATCTATTAAAAAAAATTATTAAAACAATCTATTAAAAAACCTATTAAAAAAATCTATTAAAAAAAAGGAGATAAATAATAAAGCCTCATTAAAGCTGAAGTATAAAAAGTAGCATAATCTGTTCACGAAATCCAAAATAAATGTTTTGGTTTTAGGAGACTGGAATCAAAAACACATCCAACATCAGTCGGGAATATCACGCATGAAATAACTGTTTAGATTGTTTTGTCCGAACCAGCTGGGTACTACTAAAACCAAAATATTAAAAACGCATGTTCTTAAATAGCCTCGTCAAATCTAGCGCCTCATATGTATGCTATGCATGGCGTCTAAGTCGTTCAGGAATATAAACTATCGACAATATGCAAACGCTTTCTCATATCAATGATTAAAAAAGTTTTCAAGTGAATGACTCCTTAAGTAAGACTATACTTCATCAGTTCCTATAGACTGACGCTACAAAACCGCAAAGAACGCTACCAAATAGCAAAAACTACAACACTCGAAGACTTCGAGAAGCAGCAACAATTAAAATGGTTAGCATAAGTAAATAGAAGGTTTACCAATATCATATTCAAGATGTTGATCCTCCACATAGCTTTAAACAAAAGGTTAGGAAGGAAACGTCTATCAATAATAAAAAAGAGCGATAAAAGTTATTGGATATCAGAAGTCTATAGTTGTTTGAAGAGAAAGGTTTTAAAATTTGAACCTGCTAACAGTTCGGTTAATAAATGCTGAGTTTTTCCTGTGCAAAAAAAAACACTTAATATCATATATATATATATATATATATATATATATATATATATATATATATATATATATATATATATGTGTGTGTGTGTGTGTGTGTACAGTTTTTTTGTGTGTAGATATAGGTGTAACTAGTGAGTTAGTCAAATGACTTAATTCCTTTATAGTCCACCAATAGAAGATTAACCAATCAAAAGCCGCAGAACATTGTATCCGTCGTGTAAAAAGGCGGCCATCTTTATTTACCCTACCCGAATGACCAGTGAAAACTTAACAGGCGAAGATGCCAGAAGGAAGAACTACGCTCTGCTACGATATCCACTGCGAACCTGAACTACGCTTTCCTACTGTCTCCGAAATATTCACTGCCAACCTCTGGATTCTATACTCGAAGACGACCGTCATGAATTTGTAACATGTGTGTGTGTGTGTGTTTTAAATAAAAACAGACCACTTTAAGGTACCATTATAATAATTTATTTCACCAGATCATTAGCACTTCCAAAAACTATTGGAGTAGAATAGACGGCTACATTTAACATATATATATATATATATATATATATATATATATATATATATATGACTCTTCTACTCCATGTCTCGCACTTCTCACCTGTGGAACTCCCTCCCTTTTCCTGTTTCCCTGATAGCTATAATCTACAACTATTCAGATGTTATGTCAATCGACGTCTCTAGATGCCTTGATCTATCCCCCTATCCTTCTATCACTCCTCTTTGCTCTCGCTCCAACTCTCTGTAAACCCTTGCAGGCTAGTGGCTTGAAACGCTTGAAAAAAATATGTGTGTCTCTGTGTGTGCGTATATATATATATATATATATATATATATATATACATGGAAGCATTCTTACGGACCGAATCCAATGACATGTGTACCCGATCCTTTCTTCAAACATTCGATCTTCTTCTGGTGGGGATGCCTTCTCCCCTCGTAGGTAGGGCGTTTATATAACTTCTTGTCATCCAGTTGTCTTGTGCGTGCATATCCTAAACCTGTGTTCCGTTCCCGTTTAAATTGGTGTGCCACCGATATACTTCGAGGCCTGATTTTGCATTTGTTAGCTTCTATATCAACCCTGTGAGGCAACTGTCTCCTTGGATGTCTCGATGTTACGCCGGGTACAAACCTTACTTTGGTCCCCACAGATCAACTTTACTTAAATCAAGAATCCCGATGGACATAAAATTGCTCAAGCGTTTAACCTTGCGCCTTACTATGCTTAGCTTTGTATATATCAATAAAAACGGAACTATATATTTGGACATAATTATCGGTTTAATTATTTGGCTTACTCTACGGCATGATATTAAATATCTGCAGAGAGGAAGATTTTGTCGGGTAATTACATCTTCTGGAATTTCATTTAAAATTTAAAATGATAAACTTTTTAAGGGTATAGTTTCGTTAATTTGATAAAGTGCTTTAAACAAAATAAATTTCTTCTAAATAGAATATATTTCTTTTATTACTAAAATATACTTATCATATCGAGATTCTAAGTACACGAAACCTGAATCTGATTAGAGGAAGCCTCAGCTGTAAGTGCGTTTGTTTCAAGCTGAGATTTACATCGTGATATAAACAAATTGTGTGCTAGAAACAAACAGATACGACAAACTGGCGCGAAGTAGAAAAATGCGATAAATATTTAGCAACTGATTGATATGGTTGGGTCAGTAAATAACAATAGATAAATGTATTGCTATGAAAATCTTTTAAAATTGGATCGGAGGGAAAACATTGAGAAAATAGAGTTCTTTTTTAAATAAAGGCGTCTCTAATCCTCTCGTAATAGCCTAAGGAAGGATTTCATTCATTCATTCTTTCTTTCTTTCTTTCTTTCTTTAACTTGTTCATATCTATCTATCTATCTATCTATCTATCTATCTATCTATCTATCTATCTATCCTATTGTGTTTCATCATATCATGTATGTAAACCTCTATTCATTCTTCTTTCTTTCTTTCTTTCTTTCTTTCTGTCTCAATCTGTTCCATCCTTCCTTCCTTCCTTCAATCCTATCTTAAATAAAGGCGTCTCTAATCCTCTCGTAATAGCCTAAGGAAGGATTTCATTCATTCATTCTTTCTTTCTTTCTTTCTTTAACTTGTTCATATCTATCTATCTATCTATCTATCTATCTATCTATCTATCTATCTATCTATCCTATTGTGTTTCATCATATCATCTATGTAAACCTCTATTCATTCTTCTTTCTTTCTTTCTTTCTTTCTTTCTGTCTCAATCTGTTCCATCCTTCCTTCCTTCCTTCAATCCTATCTATCTATCTATCTATCTATCTATCTATCTATCTATCTATCTATCTATGTAAACCTCTATTCATTCTTCTTTCTTTCTTTCTTTCTTTCTTTCTTTCTGTCTCAATCCTATCTATCTATCTATCTATCTATCTATCTATCTATCTATCTATCTATATATATATATATATATATATATATATATATATATCAACTTCCATTCTTTCTTTCTTTCTTTCTCAATCTGTTCCTTCCTTCCTTCCTTCCTATCTATCTATCTATCTATCTATCTATCTATCTATCTCAACCTCTTTTCTTTCTTTCTTTCTTTCTTTCTTTCTTTCTCAATCTGTTCCTTCCTTCTTTCTTGCCTATCTATCTATCTATCTATCTATCTATCTATCTATCTATCTATCTATCTCTTCCTTTCTTTTTCGCTCACTATCTCCCTATCTCAACCTCTTTCTTTCTTTCTTTCTCTTTCTACTTTTTATGGAATCCTCATCAAAAATGTTATGATTTATATTTGCGCTTCACACCCTTGTATGATGGCCAGCATTCTTTGAGGTATTCTCTTTAACAATATTCTCCAAAGATATGGTTCCAAATTACGTGAATATTGGTTGCGAGATTCGCTGCGCAAGATGGGGCCTCGTCACGGGCATTTTTTTTAATTCCTGGAATAAATTAACAATCCGATTGGTTTCCGGACTATTTGCTGCTCATGCCTTTCTTGAAAGAAACCTTTAATACTCTTTGCTCTGTAGCTATAAAAATGAAAAATGGCTACACACCCACCAAATCTATTTTCTCTGGTAACAATAAGAAAAAGGCCCAAATGTTCAATCTATACCTGTGTATATGACGATGCAAGAATTGACACTTCCCCAGGCGAGCAACTTCTATCTACCTGTCCATCATCTGGTTCTTGAACAGCCAGCATTAGGATTTATGTCCAAATGAGGCGGGAATACTTAAAAATTCAAATTTTAAGCTAACTGAAAACGATAGAGATTTTAAAAGTTTTAAAATTATATTGAGTTTAAAGTAACACAAACACTTTGTGAATTTAAAAATATTCGTTTTAAATTCAGTTTTAAATATCACCAAAACTTCGTGAATTGAGGAAATCAATTTTTTTTCTTCAAAATGCCAAAGAATCAGAGTTAAAGTGGGAGGTCTTGTGATATAAAGTTTTGAAATTTCATAGAAATTGTGATTTGAAGAACGCAACTCAATTGAATTTCTCCGGAGTTTGTAATTTGAAGAACTCAATTTTCGGCCCAAATTGGAGTTCGGGCCCAAATTGGAGTTCGGGCCCAAATTGGAGTTTGGGCCCAAATTGGAGTTCGGGCCCAAATTGGAGTTTCATCACAAATTAGAGTTTTGGCCCAAATTGGAGTTTCGGCCCAAATTGGAGTTTCGTCACAAATTAGAGTTTTGGCCCAAATTTGAGTTTTGATACAAATTAGAATTTCGCCCTAAATTGGACTTTCAGCAGAAATTGGACTTTCGGCTCGAACTGGAATTTCGATCCAAATTGGAGTTTCGGCCCAAATTGGAATTTCGACCCAAATTGGAGTTTCGGCCCAAATTGGAGTTTCTGCCTAAATCAGTCTTTTGGTCAGAATTGGACTTATCGCCCGAATCAGAGTTAAAGTGATGTTCTGATGTTTCGTGAATTGAGGAATTTAGAGTTATTCCTTCAAAATTCTCATAGCTGTTTTCTAAGCTGGACCAGAGGTCCCTTTAGTTTTGGGCCTAATGCCCCAAATTCGCCCTCTGCTGCAGCTAGCTTAAAAGTCCACACGGAGTACGGCTTTTAATCTACTAAAATAATAAATGATCTGGTAAATTTGCTTGTTTTTTTACCGGCAACCATTTTTATGTTTTATTGGAACGGCATCAGAAAAAGAATATTCAGCACCCTCACCTTAGCCAATGCAGATTCGTGACACAATCACTGAATATCACTTCAATCCAATCATCTATACTCCGTTATTGCTTCTCTGTAATCTTGTTTTCTCCTGTTGACGTGGTTAGTGATGGTTTTAATTGGTTTTTCTCTATGTAAATTGCATGTCATTCAACCGTCGAAGAAATTAACGTTTATTTCCGTCCGTTTGCTTTGAGGTTCATTTTCTATTTTGAAGACATATTGATTATAATTTTCTATCCCATCGCTTTGAAGTTTCCCATGAACTTCTCGTATGTTTTCCTTTTATCATTTTCCGTTTTTGTCCCCTCTCAATTTAAAACTCTCGATTCGCTGCTCTCTTGTTTTGGGCCATATTTTCTTTCAGCTGGAAGCTCTCTTGTTGGAGCCATGTTTATTTTCAGTTGACATGTCTCTTGTTGGAGCCATGTTTCCTTAAGATAGATTGCTCGCTTGATGGAAGCATGTTTCCGTTCAATTTGAAAGTTCTATTTTTGGAGGCACGTTTCTTTTTATTTGACTTCACTCATATTAGTGGCTAGTTTCTGTTCGATTGAAAGATCTTTTCTTGGAGCCATGTTTCATTTCCTTTGATATCAGCTCTTTTATTGGAAAGCACCCGCTTTTAACTGTAGACTAACTTGCATATTTCAAATTGCTAATATTTGTGTTAGGAATATAAATTACGAGTTGATTTAATAATTTTTGTCACCATTAAGAGATTTATCATTTTTATACCGTTAATTTAAACAATTTTTTGAATTTGTTTAGGTATATTTAATTGCGACAGATTCTCCATTTTTGTCTGGTTTCATGCGATTTGTTTATTTTCGTGAAGTAGAAAAGATCCAATTTTGTTATTCTGATGGTGTGTCCGTCGCCCATGGAAGCTACGGGATGCCCAACCATCATCTGGAGCCAAAATCACCATCAACGGAATGGCCCTGGAGAAGGTTGAACATTTTCTATACTTTGTCAGCATACTAACATCAAATGCCTCCGCTGCAAACGACGTCCATTGCTGAACCAAGATCGTCCATGCAGCATACAGGAAATTATTCAAAATAGTCTTCGGCAATCCTGGGCGGAAACAAGCCACCATCATGGTCTACCAAGCTGTTGTAATCTCGACTCTCTTGTACGCCTGTGAGATCTGGGTACTCTACCAAAGAGACATCCGCAAACATGAACGATTTCATCAAATGTAACCGCTTCAAATCCTGCGGAACACGTATCGGGAGCGGATCATGAACAAGAAAGTTCTCCGCGCAAAGATGGAGAGCCCAGAAACCATAATCACTCTCTACCAATTTCGATGGGCTTGACACCTTGCCCGAATGCAAGATATCCGCCTCCCCGAATAAAAATGCCCTTCTCGGTCCTCGCATCTGGAAAGTCACCACATGGATCCCCACGCCGTCGATTCAAGGATCAGCTGGAAAAACACCTTGGTGGGGACAGAAATAGATCCGGTCAATTAGGAGACGGAGGTTGCAAAAGGATTCAAATCGAGAAGAACTATCCACGAAAAAAAAAAAAACATCATTCTTCGAAATCGCCAGAAGGCAAATAAAAAAAAATAAGAGAGAACGAAAAAAGAAAAGCCTGATCTCTCCATCTCGGGAACACCTCGTGTCCTAACATCTGGTGGCTGCGGACGTCTCTTCAGATCCAGCGTAGGACTTATTTTTCACAAATGGGAAATATAAAGAGTACCCCAAATACTCGATAACGATTTCTACCCAAGAACAAGAGAAGTTCAGTGATCAGCTAAAATGTTGAAAATATATTCAACAAAAAAAGTGCTTAAATGTTCTGGCTGCTTCACCTACTTCCCAAATCTGACCTAATGAACACATATGAAATTTGTTGAGGGGGGCAGTTTAAAAAAATGTTGGAACCTTGGTGAGGAATAAACTCGCTAAATTGAACTCATAACTCTCTGGGTCTAGTCACTGCATCTAACCAACATCTTTATCCACTGGGCCACGTGTCTTCAAACTGTTCGAAATTCAGAATATTATAAATAATGGAAGTAAAATATAGGGTACCCTATGAGGATAGAACCGTTCATTTTTTGGGTTTGAATATTAATAAAAGAGGAATATGTTTAATGAAATAACTAAATAATAAAATTATTTTAGATATTTCCCCGATGAGCCGGTGCTATACGAAAAAGGTTTTTTTTATTTTTATTTCAAAAGTTCAAAATCTATATTAAAATTAACCAACACACTCAATGCACTCGTGAGCCACCGGGACATTCATGATCCTAAGTTTGACCTGGAAATGCTGTTGTAATAAAAAATAAATAAATAAAAAATTACACGGACTATCTATGACCCCAACTTACAATCAATAGAGAAGGAATACGTTCATCATGCGAGATAAAGGCAACGCCTTATTTGGTAGTTTGTGACGTAATGGATATCGGCTCAAAATGAGAAATCGCATACCCGAGTTTGAATTCCACTCGGGTTCATTGCATTTCTTTCGCGCAAATAGGTATGAATCTATCACTTCTCACTCCAGCTATGGATTAAATAGTAGAACAGACTGCGCGCTATAGCCTTGGTTGGCAACCAGTTTACCGCAAAAAAAGAAGAAAAAGACGGCAACCTTTGCCTAGTAGGTTATGAATCGAAAGAGATCTAATAACTTAATCGTGCATCACATATGACACTTAACTGACTAATTCACAAATACGCTTTTAAGTAGGCGCCCAAGGGGGTCGTCAGTGATATTTTGATTTGGTTCATCAGGGAGTTTCGGGTCTTTCAACATCATACTCCCCATCACCAAATTGACCCAATCAGGGGAGATCAACCCCTGATTCCCCCTTCCAATTAAACGCTAACAGCCACTCTGGCCTTTTTAAAGAATAAGAGGAAGAAAGACCACATATTCCGCACATCCAATTGGATGTTTGTAACAACCAATCCGGTGAGCGAAATATTTTTTTAAATGGCCCGCGGTGGGGACTGGCTTCTTTTCTTATTTCAGTGGATTGCGGTTTCGATGGATAACTGAGGAGGTAATCTTAATCTTCCTAAATCTTCTCCTTAAGTATTATATGATTTAATTCTTTGCCGTTTTTATTTTATTTGTACTTTTGTACTGACTTGATATTACTAAACATGGAGTACCCAATGAGGATAGAAGTCCCTACACTAACGAATTGATCAGCAAGAAATGTTTGTTTTACCATCACGATACGCTAAGTTCTTGGGTTTAAATATTAATAAAAGCTGAAAAATGCTTTAATGAAAAGACAAAATTACTAAAGAAATAACTGAAAAACCGTGTAAAAGAGAAAAAAAACTTGAGACCAATTGCTTAATGTTCTATATTTCCCAAAATCCTCATCATCACACAATTACTTCAGGAATAACGTCATGCATAAAATATCTTTTTCATCTGAAATAACTTTTTAAAATATTTTTAGAAAGTAGGCAATGGTCTACGAAACAAAAATCAAATTATTTTATTAAGAAAATAAAAGCCGCCATTTTTTTTTAAACTGAAAACGAAGCTGAATGGCCGGTCATTGTATTGAACAAAGCAGAAACTATTATGAATTTAT